ATCACTTTGTACTACACAGTAAAGCAGTTAGTGGAGACCAAAGTTTTTATTGCTGGTAGAGACCCCAGGGCCTTACACTGAGCTAAATCCCCAGCCAGTTTTTATTTTGAGCCAGTCCCACTGAGCTCAGATTCCCAGGCCTGGCTTGAATCTGTGACCCTCTGCTTTAGTCTCCCACAGTGCTGGAACTATAGGTTTGTTCCCCCAGGGCCAGCAGTAATGATTTGATGTTGTAATTTTACATTTGTATTTCTCTACTGAATTGTACCATGTACAGTCTTTTTATAAGAGTTATGTATTTATAGTAAATGATAAAATGGGTGATATTTTATGCATTCATGGCATACCGAATTGTTCTGTACTTCTAGGCTATACAGTTCATTTGTGAGCTTTTTTCAAATTGTCAAGCTTTTTAAAAAAATCCATGTATAAGTGGCTTCGTGCAATTAAAACCTAGGTCAAGGGTCAGCTGTATGTAGCATGCATACCTTCTTGGATATCATTAATAGCTGACCGTGTGGTAATGGCTTTTCCTCATCCTTACTGCAGGGGTCCTGACCACAGGAGCTCTCCTTTCTGCTTGTACTGGAGGGTAGACATGGACTTAAGCCATTTACTGAGCCTTTTTCCAGTTTCTGTCTCGTTACTGTTCTGAGCTCCAGTGTTGGCTCTGTCTGTATATTTTAAATGTAGAATCTGCCAACATAGGCAGAAAAATATTTAACACTGAGGGTCAATGTTTTCAATCTCAAAAATTACTTTCTTACTACTTGCTTCCTCTGGGATGTATTTTGATGTACCAAACTTTTCTGTTATTAATCGAGGCTACATTTACAACATAAGCAGCAGGATAATGGTAAGAATCGGATAATTGTTATACTCCCTGAGCTGCTGTAGGGCAAATTCCATTACTAACCACAATTGACAGCAGTCTACCAGGGGAATAGGGTTTGAGTATTTTCAAGACATTCACTTCTGCCTTGAGAGCAAGTAATGTGAGACAGTAGGTTGGGAATTACTTGACTTCATTTTAGCCCCACTTCTGAAATTTAAATGAAATCACTCCTCTGCTGATCAGCCCCAAATTATACTAACAGCTCGGCCTTGCCAGATGCTGCTGGGCCTTTGTCCACTGAGTAGGAAGTGCCACTTTGATAGCTTAACCTGCCCTCACTGGTGGATCACCCACTGCTGCCCCCGTGAGCAGCCTGTGCCTGCAGCCTTTTCCTTGGTAAGCCATAGAAACGTCCTTTGCTAAATTGCCTAGAGAGGGCAGAACTCCCCTGATCTTCAAGAGTGTTTTTGCCTTTCGAAGGGAAGGGAGTATAGGCACAGCATAGGCCTGCTTTCCTCCTAGGAGGGTCCACAGGAGATGGATCTTTTGCTCATTGTTTTCCCCCAACATACCAGGAAAACAGCAAGATTCACTGGGCAAAATGGACACCCCCTTTTGTGTTTGAATCATTTTATGAGTAATTTACAGAGTTAATAAAGTAGAACACGTATTCAAACAGGTGTTCAAAAGTTAAGGAAAAGTATTCAGTGTTTAATAAGTACTAATCACATAACCAAGTATACTAAAAACTATAGGATTTACCTTTTAAATTCATCTTTTTTTTTTTTTTTTTTGGTACTGGGAATTGAACTCGGCCTTGTGTTTGCCAGGCAGGCACTGTGCTGCTGAGTTTTAAATGGGTGAATTTTATCTCCATAAGGTTGTCAGTCTATGAAAATACATGTGTGAATACATAAATTAAAACAGCAGTCTCCTTGATTGAAGGTAACATACACCCAAAATAAGCACTGTCCCTTGAATGTAATAAAATATTCAACTGCCATGCACAGAGCTGCAACATACTCATCTCTTACCTGATTCCAGCTTTTAAATACACCCCTAATAGGCTCCAGTGTAGGAGCTTGTGCAGGGGCTTGTGATTTTTGTTTTTTATTCACTTCCATTATCAACAGAATACTTCTGAAAATTTTAGTGACTAATTTTGTTGAGATGCCAGCCATTGTCTTTACTCCATAATTATGTCATTTAATTCTTAGATTTACAAAGGTAATTACAATGACCAATCCATAGATTTTTTTTTTTTTTTTTTTAACTGGGAATTGAACTAAGGACCTTGTGCTTGTGAGGCAGGCAGGCAGCACCACTGAGCTAAATCCCCCACCCAACCAATCCATAGATTAGAGCATTTTTATCCTCAATCACCTTTGTGCACAGCATGTCCCTACCTGCAAACTGTCATACATGGTGTTGCCTAAACACCATACAGATAAAAGAATATTGTCACCCTTTAGCAAAAGAAGATCCACATTTTTTTTTGCTTTGTGACTGCATTCATTTCCACACTTGTCTGGTAAGTGAAATGATCTCTATATCAGTTTGTGTTTTCCTTTGTCATGGGTGAAAAATTAGAAACTTGAAATTTTTTTTTTTAAGAACTATTGACATGTCTGGCATGTTAATTAGTGCCACCAAAGTTTAAATTCTTAATTGATGTTTCCAGACTTCTGAAAGATGATAGAATACTTTGGGAAATACAACAGGGAAACTGAAGAATGATGTAATAGATGGTCTGTTTGATGACTGTCTTGCATCTGGGCAACACAGACATTCTTGGTTTTCTTAGTTTTGTCTTGCATAGTTGGAAGATACTGAAAGGAAGTAATTTTTTGGTTTGTTTTTTGAGACAGGGTCTCACTATATAGTTCAGACTGACCTGGAACTTTCTATGTAGCCCATGCTGGTCTCAAACTCACAGTGATCCTCCTGTCTCAGCCTCCCGAGTGCTGGGATTACAGACGTGCGCCACCACGCCTGGCTGAAAGGAAGTAATTTTTAGGGTGGTATAGTGGAAGTTGTTCTAGGTAGAGGAAAAATAAATTCATCAAGATTTCAAAATATGTTTTATATTTATGAAAGAATCCAGCAAATACATTGGTAATTGCAAGATAGAGTGATTTTCACTCTAAAGATATAAGTAAATTTTCTCATTGTCTTTTGAAAGACTACTAAGGAATCATAGCTGTAAAATACTCAGTTCTTAAAAACTCAGAAAATATTCTCAAAACTAGGTTCAGGTCTGTGTCTTCTGATACACTATGAATTAAGCCTCTGTTCTCAGCTGGGAGGATGGCAAACCTGTGGCTTAGGGGTCTGTGCTCAGGGTGTGGCTTCCTGGAGAATAACTGGCCATCCCATTCAGGAGACGGTTTGGAGTTCCAAGGGGCAGTGGACTAGAAGCCAAGGGGGCACTTCATAGTAGTCCTGTCTTACCAGTCATCTCAGGAGATTAGGATGCATGGGTGTTACTTTGCCTTATGTTTCAGTGAGCTTCCCTCATTGAGGATTTCACATTCTGCCAGCTGGACTGTCCCATTGCCACCCCATGGGACAGTCATGCATATAGTACCAAACTGCCATACCTCTTCTACCAAGTGAGAGTCAACCAGTGGTGAGGATTAAGAATTATGTCCCTGGGGCTAGGGATGTAGCTCAGGGGTTCCACTGCCTGCCTGGCAAATGCAAGGACCCGAGTTCTATCCCCGGTACCAAAAAAAAAAAAAAATCTGTCCCTGTCATGAATCTGTTACACCGTCTCTCCCTGCAGCCAGCTGGAGACCCCTAAGGTTAGGGATATATCCCGTCAGGCTAGGGTTTCGCATGTTGGAAATGATGGTAGCATCTACATATCTGCTGGCCTGAATAGTCAGCTTAGCCAAGCTAGGGTGAGGCAAATGGAGATGGCAGGCTTTAGAGGTGGCTGGGAGTCATGACTGAATCCTGGCACTGCCACTGCTTACCATCCCAGTGACCCTAAACAGGAAACTGCATAACTCTGAGTCTTCATTTATGAGGGTAGAGGCATATGACAGTAGTGGCCTACCTCACAGGTATTAAGAGATACAAATCAGGAAATTTGATTTAGTGTACTCAGCAAGTGGCCTTATTTCACACACTGAGGGACACAGGTAACGCTGACACCTTCCCTACCTTAAGGGCATCCTGTGAGTGTCAGGAGATTACAGGTGTCACATAGAAGGAACTGGCTATATGCTGGGTGACAGAAGAAAGGGGCAGTGGATAAGAAAGGGGCACAACAAAAGTGGGCAGCTCGGATGTAGGGCATCAGGTGTGCCCAAGCAGACAGGAAAAAGCATCTGCACAAAAGAGCACTGGGGACACAGCTGGCGCAGACATGTCCAGCCCAGATGAGATAGCCATGTCCTAGGGAAAAAAGCTTGCCCTGAATGTGTCCCCAACTTTTTCCTGTGTAGGAAAGTAATCTGGTGCCTTCTTTGCTTTGTCCTGCATGTACCCATGGGATGGGATAGCCAGGTTCAGAGGGGTTGGGCTTCCTCCCACCTCTCTCCCTCTGCTGCCATTATCAGCTGTGTCCAGATGGTCACAGGCTCCCTAATCTGGGATAATCGATGGGTTGTAGTTCAGCTGGGACCTGGGCCTTTGTGCCTGGCTCTGATGGGCCAGCCCCAGCTGGAGAGACCATGCAGACAGGGCCCTGGGGCTTTGAAAGATGGGGAGGGCCATGGTGCTGGCCTTGGGTTGGGAAGAGATGAGGAGCAGATGAGACTCCTCTTCAAAAGACAATCTGAGTGCAAATGAGTGGACTCCTGCAGATGGGTTAGGCCACAGCAGGCCTGAATGGCTCAACCTCAGAATCTGATGTGTTTTGATCCCTTTCTTTTGAACTCACCCCTTCCTATATAGTTTTGTCATTGTCCCTGGAGCCCCAGGCTACACCAAGTGTTTATTAATGGCATCTCTGGCTTCTCATTGATGTTGGAGATCTGGCAGGTCTAGATACACAGCCAGGGTGGCTAGGTTTTTAGAGACTTATGGCTCTGTCACACTCTACCCAGCATGAAATAATTCAGTTTTTTTTAAAAAAAAAAAAGTCCAAATTGCTCTTTGAAAGTAAATGAGGTGGGCTGGGGATTTAGCTCAGTGGTTCTGCCACCTGCCTATCAAGCACAAGGTCCCAAGTTCTATCCCTGGTACCAAAAAAAAGAAAGAAAGTAAATGAGGTAATGGGCATGGTATGGTTGAATGTTGGTGTCCCTCCCAAATTTCTATGTTGGTACCTAACATGATGTGGCAGTATTAAAAGGCAAGGCCACACAAAACACACACACACACACACACACACACAAGGGAGGCTTTTGGGAGGAAGTGATTAAGCTATTTCAGAAATGAGGGTAGAGCCCTTATAAATAAGATTCATAACTTACAGAAGGCTGAAGGGAGCTGCCTTGCTTCCTTCTGCCAAGTGGGGGACACAGCAAAAAACACTGTTAACAAAGCATAGCCCTTACCCACTGATTTGGGACTGTCAAGCTTCTAGAATTATAAAAAATAAATTTCTGTTCATAAATCACTTAGTCTAAGGTATTTTGTTACAGCAGCCCACACAGAGACTATGATGGTAGGAAAGTGTCTGTGAACATTAAAAGCTGGGAGCAGATACTGAGGATTGGCTTCTCCAGGAAAACGGGGCCTGAGCTGGGATACAGACCCAAAGTTTGAGCAAGGTTTTATTTCTACAGGAAAAGGGGGCAATAAGTTAAGGGGCTGTTTTCAGGAAGAGGGGAGCAGAATGGTGTGCTTCAGGTCTCCCTATCTCCTGTCTTAGTCACCTGCCCAGGCTCTGGACAATGGTGACACAGCCATGGGAACTGGTGCAGCGCTGCAGGGATGGCTGGGCCTCCACCTGCCCACTGCTGGGGTCAAAGGTGAAGACTCTATTGGTGCTCTCCCCATGATCATCCCGCCCACCAAGGATGTGGACCTTCCCGTCACATACAGTCACTCCGCAGCTCTCCTGAAGGGACAAACAGAAAGGCACATCAACTCCGTGGTCCAGCCGGTATCCTAGCTGGCCACACCAGTTAGCAAAACCTTGTCTTACAGGCTACAGGCAGGCAGTCTGGATGGCAGGGAGCAGGGATTAGATGGACCTGAGGTTAAACTCTAGCTTGACCCTTTAATAAATGGATAGTCCCCTAGAAGTCATTTATATGCTCTGGGCCTTAAGTCTGCTTATCTGCCAAGTATGAAGGATAACAGTACCTTCTTCACAGGGTTTTCATCACAGCTGATGATAGGGTTAAGTATGTAAAACATTGTACATAGTGTCTGAAATAGACTACTTTTGGTTTTAGTTAAAAGGCTGAATCTATAATGCCTGGGAAGTAGTTAGCATACATTTAACAATAATGATGCCTACTGCCCCTATCTTAGGATCTCAGGCTCAAAAGCCAGAAATCTCAGCCCCTTAGGATCACTGAACTTCAGAACTGGCAGAGAACCCCAGTCCAACCACCTACTCTCTCTGGGGTAAGTCAAGGTAAGGGAGGAAAGGACTGTAGGGGCCAGAGAGTGGAGCACCTGAGCTCCCTGTCTGCCCGCACTGGGTGGAACTGAGAAATACAGCAAGGTCCTTCCCCACCATCAAATGCACAGTAGGCTACCACAGGGTGGCCTTTAGGGAAGGAGAAACTGCAAACCCCCACTCAAGGCTACAGCACTTGGGATTCTAGGTTCTGCCTTAATATGGCCTAATGGGTGGCCTTGGGGCAACCTCTCTAAGGCCAATTATCATTAAGGACAAAGCTAGAGAACTATGTAAAGTCTGCTAGCATTAAGTCATTTTTGCAAGACTCTCTCCTGCCAAAATTCAGGGCCTTAGAGTAGGTTCAAGATCCTAAAAGGACCAGGGCCAGGGCCAGGGCCAGGTCCTGGAGCCTGCACTTACCACAGGGCTAGGGAGGACAGCTGCTTCCCCCCAGACATCTGTGCCAGGGTCATAGGTGAAGATTTTGTTCATGAGGCCCCCCACCACATAGATGGTGTCCTCAAGGGAGACAGCCTCAAGACACCGCTGTGAGAAGGGTGCTGGTGAACGAAAGCTCCACTGGTCTTCCTTGGGGTCAAAGCACTGCACCTGCGGGCAGGAAGGTGGTGGTAAAGCCTGATCCCCAGCTGCTGTACTGCCCATGCCTTGCGTCCTCTTTCCCCTGAGACATCCAATATCACCAGTGTCTGAGCTAGCGCCTGGGACAGAGAGGAGACCAACCGACCCTGCCCTGAGGTGCTCTTAGCCTAGGTTCTGTTTTTTTGTCTCCAGCCTCTAGACACCTTTTGTAAAAAAAAAAAACCCTCATTTTTAAAGGTCCAGCTCAAATGCTGGCCCATTTTAAAGCCTTTCCTGGTGTTTCCACCCCTCCCTCCCCACTGCAAGAATAGTCTCTCCTTTGATAAGAGGATCATAGAGTTACTTCATGTGAGATTAATCTTGGAGCACATCATAGCAATCTGGGAGTGCTATGTGACCCGGAACATGGAGGTGCTGTCTGGATGTCCCCCACCAAGATGTGTTCCTGGCTGCATGCTGTGGGGTCATGACTCCATTCCAGCTGAGATGTAGTTAATACAGGTGTCCACAGGCCTCTAGGCTCATGGGTGTTTATGATGCCCTGAGCCCTTTCTGAGGGTGCTTGCCTTGCTTGGCTGCATGCTCACCTTTGTTCCCTGCTTCAGTTATTTCCTTGGAGACTGCCCCCCTCCCCAGAATGGCCTATAACAGATCAGTCCTATGTGGGATGGTGGGAAATGGGACCCCTACCACTGGTGGCCTGCATCCAGCTCCAGGACGGTTGGCTGAAGGAATGAGGTCAGGGGGTAAGGAGGGGTGAAGAATCCTAATTTGGGAAAGATCTGGGCCCTAGGATCACAAGCAGGGAAGAGGGAAGAAGCTGCCATGAAGATTAATTTTTATTTATAAAATCTTAATTGTCTAATGAGATAACAGACTACAGTTCATCTACCCAGTGTAATATCACAGATACTGAAATGATTGCTGCGAAGTTCTAAATGTGTAGAAAGTGCCTATAAATGAGAATATAAAGCAGGATACAAAATTTTAAAGCAAAAACGTACAGTTAAAAAGCTGGGCATGATAATGCATGCTTATACTCCCAGCACTGGGGAGGCTGAGGCAGGAGGTATCTGTGATTTCAAGGCCAGCCTGAACTACAAAGTGAGACCTTGTCTCAAAAAAAAAAAAAAGTGGAAATCAGTTCAGTGGAATCCTGAAAGGCAATGCACCAAAACGTTTATAATAGTTATCCTTAGATGGTGGAAGTATGGAGTCTATGGGTGAATTTTTTCTTTCTAAATTTTAAAAAATTAGCATTTTTTGAATGGAGGAAAAACTTTAATCTTACCCCTTCCCTCACTTAATTTTAAAAGTCTAACCTGGAACTCACTATGTAGCCCAGGCTGGTCTTGAACTCCCAGCGATCCTCCTGCCTCAGCCTCCCGAGTGCTGGGATTACAGGCATGCGCCACCACGCCCAGCTTAATTTTAAAAGTCTGTGAGACCCATATGGATGGCACTGACCCAAACATGGTAGTCTGGAAGTCCTGTTGGCCCACTGTGTGAACTTAAGGCCATTTTCTCTGAACTCATTTCCTTGCCTGAAACCTGGGGGTGACTCTTTGGTGCTGATGATGGGAATAAAGAAAAAGGAAGGGAGGGAGGAAGGGAAGGAAGGAAGAAAAAAACCCAAGAAATCGCCCAGGTCTACACCGAGCACACAGATAGCTGTTTCTCAGCAGCCTCCATTGCCCCCTCTGCACCCCAGGCCTTGCCCACCTTGTTGGTGTTAACGCCATCCTGACTTGCACCCCCAATCACGAAGAGCTGGCCTGTGCTGGGTGCCACCGCCGCAGAACTCACAGCCTCCAGCAGGGGTGCAGTGGCAGCCCAGGTGTTGGAGAAGGGGTCATAGCGCTCCACACTGCTCAGCCGCCTCAGGCCATCGAAGCCGCCCACCGCAAACAGCTGCAGGTGAGGACACAAGCAGGGGCGCTGGGAGTCAGAGACATAGGCAACTCCTTGGCACCTTTGCTTCAGTCTGCAAGCAAAGTATCCCCACACTAGGTTGGGGACCAAACCCACCCAGGGAGCATTCCAGCATGCCACACCTGGGTGGTCACCACCCAGTTACAGTATCTCCCTTAGCTGCTTCCTCTGCTTAGTCAGAGATAGAGGCCAGTCTCTAAAATGAGTACTGAATGTGGATTAAATCTGCAAATACCTGCATTAACCTGATGGTTAATAACAGCCAGTAGTTTTTATTAAGGGTTTATCACCCCACTTAATTGATTCTAAGAAACACTTTGTGTTGCTGAATTCAGGATGTAGTTCACAAAGATAATTCTTTGTCCTGAGTGGCACTGAAGATTCAAACCCAGACTATTTGGCCCCAGAGCCCACACTCTTAACCACTACTAGTCTGTAGTAGGCCATAATAGTAATGGCTGTTATTGTTAGTATTAGCATTATTATATCATCTTGGTAAGGTCTTTTTGGGCCTCAAATTCCTTCTTACAAAGATAGGGTGTAAAAGGGACTTCCCCAGGTCAGATCTGCCATAAACCTGTGCCTTGGATCCTGGGCAGTGGCTGTTGTTTACCTACCTGCCCCTGCACTGCTGCCATCTTGTGTCTCCACCTGCCCTTGTGTAGTGAGGCTACCTTGATCCAGGTGTGCAGATGGGAGCGAAACATCCACACATCCCGGCTGTTGATGTGGCCTCCTAGAAAGAGAGATAGAAGAAGGAGGAGGAGGAAGGGAGCGGGGAGCTGTTGTCCCCAGACCCTCTTGCTATCACCAGCACACCCAAAGAAGCCAGACACAGGCTCTAAATCCAAAGGTGGAGTTAAGAACAGAGATGACTTTTGCTTGAGTTGGTTTAAGACTGGGCCTGTGACCCAGCCACTACTTTGAATGAGGGAAAATAAGTATCAGGGATTTTGAGGGACAGGGCTGCCAGCTTCAGGAAGGAGCTGATCTTCACTGGGTGTTTTGTGGGTATTGGTTCAGCGCTCAGGGAAAGGTATTGGTGCTTGAAGAAGTGGGGTGTCTACTATGATACAAATAAGTGCAAAGGGTACCCAAGTCAAGCATCAGGAATGTTCTGGGGTCAAAGGAAAGCAAAGCCATCATCTGCACAGGAATGAGGGAGGAATACAAGGTGACCAGTAATCCTATACTTCTGCTTCCACCTTCATGATTTCATTTCTGGACCCACCTCTTCATGAAGTATTGGGATTACTACAGTCAGGCATGGTGGCACATATCTGTAATCCAGCACTTAGGGGGCTGAGGCAGGGGAATTACTGGAAGTTGGAGGCCAGCCTAGGTTACATAGTGAGTTCAAGGACAGCCTGAACTACACAGACCCTGTCTCAAAAAAATTTTTATTAAATGAAATATCGGGATTACTATACACAGGTTTCATATAGGAAACCTGAGATCATTAATGATCTGAAGACCGTATAGTCTTTTGTCAAGGCAAAAACCAGAATCTTACACCCTGAAGTCCAATACTGGTGCTGCCGAAGGACACAACATACCACACCAGTAATTGGCTCTGCAAAACTATATACCACTTCAACCAATAACTGTTGGGGCTCAGAAGTCCCGCCCCTATCTAATTGGAGGGAAAAATAAACAGTGCGCCAGGGGTGGCGGTGATGAGCCAATCCCATGGGGCTCCTGCTGCGGCCCCACCCTCACCAGAAACGTAGACATCATTGCGAAGAGCACAGGCAGCGAACTCCGAACGTGTGTAACCAGGCAAATTGGGCAGAGGGGTCCAGCGCTGGCTCCCTGGGTGGTAGGCATCAGTGAAAGGCAGCTTCAAGAGACCTTTGCGGTCACAACCACCGATGACCACGATCACTTCAGCAAGATCCATGAATCTGATGTGGAGATAAACTTAATGCCTGATGCCACACCCATGTGGCCTTTTTTTTCACCCTCTTGATACTATACAATCTTGCTGCCCTTCCACATCCTTCTGGCCAACCTACCCCAACTGTATCGCTTCCAAACCTCTGCTTACTTATATAAGGTCACTAATTTTTACTCCATTCTATATACGTCTAAGTTACAGAAAAAAGAACCCACCCCCCAGTACTGGGGATCAAACTCAGGACTTTGCATTTGCTAGGCAGGTACGGTACCACTGAGCTAATTCCCAGCCCAGAGAAAAGAATTTTTTAAAAAGCCCTTACCTAGAAAAATCACCTTGTTTGGGGCTGGGGATTTAGCTCAGTAGCACCGTGCTTGCCTCACAAGTGCAAGGTCCTGAGTTCGATCCTGGGTACCAAAAAACAAAACAACAACAAAAAACCCACCTCGTTTAATTCTTATTTGCATTCTATTAGGTAGGTCCTATTACCCCTTTTACAGAGGTGAAAACAGGCTCACAGATCATGGCTTGCTTAAAATCATGCCCAGGAATCTTCCCCCTTTCTCGTAGGCAAGCCCTCTACCATTAAGCTGCATGTCCCCCCACTCTTTTGGAAAGTTTTTTTTTGTTTTTGTTTTGTTTTGTTTTGGTATCGGAGATCAAACTTAGGACCTTGCACTTGAGAGGCAGGCAGTGGCACCACTAAGTCCCCAGCTTCCTTTGTTTTTATTTTTCATTTTTGTTCTTGCTAAATCAACCAGGTTGCCTTGAACATTTGATCCTCCTGCCTCAGCTTTCCCACTAGCTGGGATTTGGTCATGCTCAGTTTTTGTCTGATCCATCAACCCTCTTCATGGCATTTTTCTGACCTCCATCACCAAATGCTAATTCTGCTGCCTCCCTTCTATATGTTACCTAAAGCCATCCATTAATCTTTAATTCCTCTGGACAGGGCTATTCATCCTCTCTGTAAAGCATCCCACACACCCTCCAGTCTTCTGACCTCACCAGATTCTCCAAACCTTTTAGCCAGCAGTTTTAGTTTCCTTGATAAATAGCATATTCTTCGTCCCAGGTTCTGTGATTAGTGTCAGAGATACAGTGGCTAAGACAGTGTCATCTCTGTCTTCTGTTCCTGGGGGATGATGACCAATTTGGACTATCCCACTCATTGTTTGCATCTCGAGTTCCAGGGGTGGAAAAGTCGTCTCATGTCTCCCAATACCCCTTCCTAATTATCTCCCTCACTAGTCTGTGAGCTCCCAGAGCGCAGGAGTTTACAAATCACTCACTCCAGGACCTGCACAGAGTAAGCACTCAAATTATAGATAACAGGCCAGGGGGCCGAGGATTTAGCTCAGTGGTGCCGCCGCCTGCCTCGAAAGCACAAGGTCCTGAGTTCTATCCTCGGTACCCTCCCCCCAAATTATAGATAACTGTGAGAGAGGGACCTTGCGCCAGGTGTGGAATCTCTCAAGGGCAGGAAGGACTCCCAGGACTGAATTTCATTCAAGAGGTGCAACTAAGCAAATCAAGGGATGGAGACCGGGTGGGTGGATGGTTGCAGAACTGCAGGGCTGGTGGAGGGCGGCTGTACCTCCTCGGCCGGGCCCGCAATGCACAGGCCTCTCGACCCAGGATGAAGCAGGCCCGGGCCTCGAGCAGCAGGGGACGGCACTCGCCGCAGGCCTGCAGCAGCTCATCAGCCTCCACCTTCTCCAGGAAGTATACCGGTGCCAGCAGTGGCAAGCGCACGTGCTCCAGAAGGCGCCTCAGCTGCCCCCGGCGGGCTGGCGCGTCGTGGCGCACCCAGCGCAAGG